GACTGCGCCCCGGGAGCGAGCGACGGGAGCCCCAGATCTCCGACGTGTTTTTTTTTTTTTTTTCTCTCATTTTTTTTGGGGGGGGGGATATATATAGATATATATATAATCTTCGCGTTTTTCCTCGATTTCGTTCTCGGGGGCCCGTTGTCGGGCCCGGGGGCCAGCAACAACGGACCCGGGGCCGAGAGCCTGTCCCGGCCGGGGGGTCTGGCCGGAGGAGATCGGCAGCTATCCGGGGGCCCCGGGCGGGCGGCCCTGGCCAGGCCGCGGGCCTGCTCGCCCAGGGGGCCACATGCGAGCCCTACCCCGAACCCCCACCGACCCCCCACGATTTCTAAGGGGGGGGTGGGGTTCACTTCGCTCGGGAGCTCTCGAACGAAGTGAACCCCACCCTCCCCCTCAGAGAAATCGTGGTGGGGGTAGGGTTCGCATGTGGCCCCCTATTGCCTCCCAAGCCGCTGTGGGATCCCTTGGGGGAGCATCTTGGAGAGAGCGAGGAAGGACAATGCTCGTCCAGGGCTGTTTTCGTTGGCTTTTCTTGGGCCGAGGTCGGTCCCGAGAAGCCCAAGGGTGGCGACAAGTTGGTCACCTGGTGAGGAGCCGCGTGTTCGAGCTCCCCCTCCTTGCAACGTTTTCTGGGCGTCTCTCTCTGGACCCCTGGAGGGCTCTGGGAGTCTCTGCAATCCTCCACGGGCAGTGCCCTCCATGGGGATTTGCGCGGGGGTGCTCCGGGGACATGGGGATTTTCAGTGGATGCCAAGGCGGGTTCTATCTGGCCCAACCTAAGCTTATCAGTGGAACACACATGCCCTAAACGACCCTGGCTGAGTGAGCTCAGCCCTCTTAGCGGATTTGTCTAATCTCCCTAAGCCCTTTGGGCATTCGTAACCCATTGATAACCTAGGCTAGGCCAGATGTAACCCACCTTGGTGTCCACTGATAAACCCGCTTGCCCCCTGACTCTTCCAGCGATGTGCCGGATGACTGGATCCGAGTGGAGGGGGGCGGCGGCGGTTCGCGGAATTCTGTCAGACTTCTTCTTTCATCCTCCCTCGTCCTCCCTCCTCCTTCTCGTGCTCCCTCTCCTCCAAGGAGGAGGGGGAGGGGGGAGGAGGAGGAGGACCTCGAAATTCGAGGATCGCGGCTCGAACAGTGTGGATCGTCGGTCCTCTTCCTCGACAGGTCCTGGTCCTCCCTCGCCCTCCTCCCCTCCCTCCCCCATCCACCTCCAGCTTCCCTCGCCTCCCCCCCCCCTCCCCGCTCCCTCCTCGCTCCCTCCTCGCTCAGGCTTGGCTCGAGCGGTTGCACAACCGGTTCCGCGCCGATCCCCGCCGCGACGCCCTCACGGGCCGCCATCTGCCAGGCGCGACGCCTGCCTACTCTCCTCCTTCCTATCCCCAGCGGCCTCGCGACGAGCCCGCTCCCCATCGCAGAGCGCGCAAGCAGCGCGCTAACGCCCGCACGCTTTTAAGGGTGCACAAAGCTGCGATGATGCTTTCGCAGCACCACTCCTTCCAGGGTATCCCCCAGCAAGGCGCTGTTCCTACAACCTTACCCCCTCCTCACGCGCCGCCTCTCTCGCCAACATCTGGGCTGCAGCAGCACGGTATGGCTACTTCTCCCACGCAGCGTTTGGCTGCTCCTCCCTCACCGTCCCTTTATGCCACGCGCCTTCCCATGGACTTTTTTCCTCCACCCCAGCAGCCAGTGCACCAGAAAGGCAGCGCCCCTCCCGACTTCTGGTATTGCCTGCAATGTGGCCGGGCCAACACCACTATGGACGTCTCATGTCCCAACTGTTTTCCGACTCGGGCAGCAGGTCATCAGCATGCGACGGCCGGCCCAGCCAAAGGTCAGGGGCAGCACAGGCCCTTGCAAGATGGGGGCGCGGGGCCGGGCCACAAGGGCCCTCGCTCCTTTTCCGGAAGCACGGGAGGGGTGCACTTGGGCAAGGGCCAGGCACCGACAGAGGCGCCATCTTTCGATCAGGTGGCTGCATGGGCAGCGGAGTACGGCCTGCTCCCCGCACCCCCAGGAGACCATGCGGTCCAAGCGGTAGGGATCTCCAGCAAAGAGCGCAAGAAGCGCGAGAAGGACGAAGCTCGTAGAGCTCGCGAGTACCAGCGCAGAGAAGGGGAGCAGCCCGCCTCGAAGGCTCCTGGCGCCCCGCACGGTGCTAGGGACACAGGCATCATAGGACAGTCTCCCCAGACACAGCCCTCCCCTTTTGCGCCTCCTCACGACGGTGCGGCCACTCCCTCTACACTCTTCGGCCCAACCTCTGTACGGCAGTCTCCTTTCCTTGCGGCCGAACAGGCCTCCTCCTCGCTCGGCGCGCTGGATCCTGCCACTGAGCTCTCGGTGGCGGAGCTCACAGCGCAATGCCCTACCCTTGCCCCAGACGAGGCGCACTCTCACTCAGCCTGGCTTTACCCCCCGCTCGAGCCCGACCGCCTGCTGGAGCGCCGCAAGGCCCTTGCAATGAGCAAGGAGGCACTAATCCTGCAGCTTAGGGCCTCAACTCTCCTAGGACACTCCGATATGCGTATCACCGAGATCCGAAAGGAGATTTCACTAGTTAACTTTCAATTGGCCAACGCGAGGGATCCGCTGGCCAAGATTAGTGAGCAAGAGCACGTGGTGGCCTCCCTGCGTGCTGATTGCGAGCAATTGGCAGCCAAACAAGCGCAGGCGGAGGAGCACGTGCGCAACATCGCCCTGGCCCTTCAGACCGCACAAGCGGACCTCAGCCAGGCTTCTACGTTACTAGCTTATTTCAAGTCGCAAGCACCGCCAGCCGCCGCCATCGCTGACTCGCTCATGATGGGGGATGCGGCGGATGAGCCAGGTGCAGTACAGCGCGCTGCGGCACTCTCTGCAACGCATGCAGGTGAGGAGCGAGCCGACCCACCTGACCTGGGAACGGCCACGCCCCTCACTGCAGCGCCGCCCTCTCCCCCGCTCCTCCACTGCCCTGCGCCCCTCCCAGGCATCCAAGGGTTGGAACAGCCTTGCATCACATCACTCTCCGCGGCCATGCAGAGTAACGCCGAGGTCATGGCCAGGGAGGTTGCCACCATCAAGGCAAGTTTTGACTCCCAGGCCCAAGCCATGCGCAACTCAGTAGACACCCTAGTCTCACAGATCAAGGCCGGGCAACTAGTGCCAGCCGCAGTTTCTAGCCACGGCGCTACGGTCCGGGGGGGGGCCGCAGCGCCGTCAGGATGTGAACAGGCCCGCGCTTCCCCCAAAGCAGGCCCGCTATTCCGCCTAGGTTTCGTGCCCAAACCCGGGCCAGCGCCAGTGCCCGAGACGCCGACAGGGGAGGTGATCACCACTGCGCCCACGTTTCAAGATAGCTCGGTTCGGGAGGTTGCTATCAACCAGCAAAACCCGGCAGCAGCTTCCGTAAAGGAACCCAGCGATATGCCCCCGCCAACCCGTTCTGCCAGCCAGCTTGGGTGGGACCTCTCCGATGAAAAGGGGGGGCCAGTCGCCATGGCATCCTCCCGCCGCAGCGCAAGCGCTCAGGCCGGGGGCAGATCCGCACGCGCGGGTCAGGCCGACGAGCGCGCGCTTTCAGGCATCAGCGAGGAAAACTTTGTAGGTGAGCAGGCAGCGCGCAGCAAGAGCCCGCGTGGCTCACGTCGCCCCAGGCCTGCGACAGCCGAGGCTGAGTCAACGTCACGTGCAGGGGCACCCGCCATGGCTGCCCCACGCAGTCCTGCAGATGCAATGGCAGAAGCAGAGGCTGCGGACCTTCGCGCTGAAGCCGAGGCCCACGCGGCGCAAGCTGCTCAGGACGATTTAGCCCAGGCAGCGCGCGACGGCACGGTTTTTCAGGTCGCTCCCCCGGACACTGCCCACGGGTGAACCTGGGGGGGCGGCAAGGTATACGCCGCAGCCCGCTTCCGCCCATGGGGTGGATGCTACCGGTGCTTACGGCTACCTCCATACAGTTGGTCAGGGACTTCGATGTCATTTTTCCAGCCCTCCACTCCTCCTCCATCCCCACCTGGCACAGCTTTGTCTTCGATACTCCCTACGCGGCTTTTGACTCCGCGGATATATATACTGACGCCAGCGGAGGGGCCTCCAAAGGAGATCTCGCTGGCCCGCCAGCGTGGGCTTTTCTGGTCTTTGCATGGCTCAACGGCGCTCGACACTTTCTAGGCTTCCTCGGGTGTCCCACCCCGGAGATAATAGGAGCAACTAGAGTCTCCGCTAAAGCGGAATTCGATGCCGCCACCTGGGCGGCGTTATGGGCCTTGCAGTCCCCCTTTCCCCCCGCCGTTCCTCTCACCTTTCACTCAGACAACGTGGGCGTAGTCGCCACCGCCCAAGGCGTCACCGTGGCCGAGCCACTAATGGAACATAGAAGCCGCCTCGACAGTCTGTGCAAGGTACTTGGCCTGAAACGTCGCTTTACATGGCAGCACGTGCACGGTCGCCAAGCAGACCCGCTCAACGAAATGGTTGACACGGTCGCCAGACTGTACTCCCTCGCACTGCTACCTCCTCCAGTGCTCCCGCCCCTCATGAGCTTTCTCCAAGACAATGCGCGCATTTTGGAATGGCTTTGGCTTGAGTGCCTTCCTCAGCAACAGCGAGCGCTTTACCCGCCGAACCATCAAGTTAGTCTTAATCCTCCTCCCCCCCACGCACCTCGCTTGCTGATGTTTTTCCAGGTCTCTCCAAAGAGGCAGCCCCGATCGCAGACGCCACGGCATCCTGCTGTCTCAGGCTAGCCTCAGCCAACATTCTCTCTCTCACGCCTGCTTCGCGCATCTCCCAAAGAGCCAGGCTTGCAGGCGTGGCCGTCAAAGGACGCCTCCACCAGCTGGCCGCTGCCTTTCAACGCAATGGGCTCGACGTTATCGGTATGCAAGAAACGCGAGTCACAGCCGCGGGCTCTGGCAAACGCCAGGTCCCCCCGTGCGTAGTCTTTTTGTCAGAGTCTCAAGCTGGAACTCATGCTTGCGGCTGCGCGCTATGGG